AGACTGGACTCCCCGCTCAACGATCCTACACGCACTGTTGTCTCAGCAGCGTCTCCAGCTCAGTGAACAGCCCTGTGCTCCGTGCCTGGGCCCAGCTGCGGCTCCACCAGCCAATGAGCAGAGGCCTTGCGGCCACCTTCCCATATCTGCACCCCTTTCCTTATTCTTACAGCCAACACACCAGCAAATGCGTCAGCTCCACCCAAAACACACCCAGAACGGATCATGAGTTTCCTCCCTGGTACCGGTGAGCCCACCCATTCTCTTATCTGTGTTCTTTTTCTAAAAAATATTTTTATTGATTTCAGAGAGGAAGGGGGAGAGAGGGAGAAATAGAAACATCAATGATGAGAGAGAATCATTGATCGGCTGCCTCCTGCACGCCCCCCGTTGGGGACCGAGCCCACAACCCAGGCATGTGTCCTTGACGGGAATGGAACCTGGGACCCTTCAGTCCCCAGTCCAACACTCTACCCACTGAGCCACACCAGCCAGGGCTCTTACCTGCGTTCCTGCTCTAACCACAGCCCACCCTTGCTCTGGGGCTCCTCTCCACAGAGCTGTGGAACATGGAACCTCAGGTCCCATCTTGTCACTCCTCTACTCAAACTCCCCAGCGGCTGCTACACTCACTCCTGAAACCCTAAAGACCCTAAAACCCGCACAAGGACCAAAGGCGTCAGTAGCCGTTTCCTTTCTAGCGTCACTTCCTACCTGCTCACTGCACTCCAGCCACACTGGCCTCATTCGCTCCTTGAACGAGCCCAGTATAGGAGTTACGGATGCGGGTAACAAGTCACGGAATTCACTGGCTTTAACAACACTTCTCCCGCTCTCCGCGGGTCCCAGAGCCGGCGGCTAAGCAGCCTCTCGGGTGCAGGTCTCCCCCGGCTGCCACTCACGGGGGGCCCTGGTCCTCTGGGCCCAAGCTCACTTCCTGGCTGCTGCCAGGATTCAGTTCCTCGTGGGCTGCTGGTCTGGCGGCCTCAGCTCCTCCCCGGATGTCGGGAGAGGCCTCCCCAATAGAGCTACTGGCTTCATCAGAGCAATTCAAGGAGGGAGACAAAGAATGGCCGCAGACACAAGTCAGAGTCCTTCGCAATGGCCCCTCAGAGCGACGGCTCATCATTCTGCCCCTGGAGGGAAGGGGGAAGGGAGGGGACAGGGGGTGGGACCACCGAGAGCCTTGAGAGCAGCAGGTGCGGGCCCCTGGGGATACCTGGCTGCTCAGAATGTTCTCCCTCCAGGTATCCTCGTTTCTCCCTCACCTTCTCCAAACTGTGACCTAATGGCAGCTTCTCATGGCCCGGAACGCTCCTAAAATGTCAACCCCTACCCCCCAATACTTCTCCTCCCCCTCCTCGCTCTGTTCCTCTGTGGCCCTGGATGGCTGCACCACGTAACTGACAACTTCCTGGGCTGGGCCTCCGTTCCCATCCCCTTCCCTGGACAGGGGCAGGTTAGCGTGGGCCAGAGACGTTCTGCATGAGACAATCGTGGGAAGCCAGCGGGGGGTGGGGGTGGGGGGCTCTGAGAGGGTGTGAGGCGCACCTGCAGGCCAGGCGCCTGTCCCTTCTGTGCCTGCCCGGCCAGTGGGTGTGGGGCCCCAGCCAGGTCTGCGCCTGCTTCAGCTGCTGCCTCTCCCCCGCCCACTTCAGGGCCTCTGGTCTGACAGGGGACCAGCTCCTCCTGGTGTCGCCTCTGTTGTCAGGTGGGGCCTGGGGCCCAGGGAGAGATAAGAGCAGGTGCCAGGCACCTCAGGATTCGGGTCACGCACAGCCGACCTATCACCGATCTCCTCTCCCAGGGGCTCTCCTCTCGCGGGACTCCCGGTCCTGGTTCCATCTACTCCCGCCACTAAAAGACAAGCCCTGGCACAGACGATGTGGCTGTTGTGTGCACTGCTCTCGCCCTCGCTCCCGGAACAGGGCCTGTGTATAGCAGGAACGCATTAATCATTTATGGATGAGCCATTTTTTAAAACACAAGGCACGAGTGAGAAAAAGCCCTCAGGCCACTGCCTGACTGCTTCCTCCTGAGAGATGTGCAGTTAATTCTGTTCCTCTGATAATCACCAGCGCCTCTATCCAAAAACACGAAAGGCCAGGGTGGGGAGGAGCAGGGTAGCTGAAGAGCAAGCGTTCTGCACTGAGCTGCTCCAGTCCCGTGTCAAATGCAGAGCTGAAACCCCGCCCGGTCTCACTAT